ACATCCCCTCCAACATTTGGTATCATTTGTTTTCTTGATCTTAGCCAGTCTGACTGGGGTAAGGTGAAATCTTAAAGTGGTTTTAATTTGCATTTCCCTGATTATTAGTGATGTTGAACATCTTTTAAGACGTTTCATAGCCATCTTTACTACTTCTTTTGAAAGCTTTCTGTTCAGCTCCTTAGCCCATCTTTCAATTGGGTTGCTTCTTGTCTTGGTTCTCTGTTTTTTAAGTTCGTTATATATTCTGGTAATTAAACCTCTATCAGATGTGTCGCTGGTGAAGATTTTCTCCCATTCTGTGGGTTTTCTGTTTGTTTCCTTGGTTGGGGGTCTTTTTGTCCTAATTGCCTAGCCAATTCCTACCTCCTATTCTTATCACACCATCCCCTGAAGCCCTGGCTTCTTCCATGCTGAAAAGGACACAGGGTGAGGCAATTGGGGTACCCCTTCAGTGGGTCTATCTAAAAGACTTACAAATTGCATAACTCTTTTTAAAAAGCATTTTTATTGAATTTTTGCAATTTCCATACAATATAATTTGATGACATTTATATAACCCCCTGCCCATCCCCTCCCCACTCAATTCAGTGTACTCTCTTTGGATAATAAAGCCTATAGCATGTAACTCTTAACTGTAGGGAGAAAAGAAAATCCTTGTGGTGCCTAGGAGATATGAAGAAGTAAAGGCAAGAGTAGTTAGCCTTACAAGATCTAGACAGGGAACCAGAAAATAGTCAAAACAGGGCAAATTTCATATTTTCATATCAGAGTCCATTGGAATTTCTTGATGAACTTCCAAAAGCATCCCTCTTATTGTATTCCTCCTCATTTTCTTTTGTCTGCCAAGGCTGGACTCGAGAGTGATATACTTAGGATTTGTTTTCAGGCACTTTGATAGCTGTTGGAGTGGCGAGAATCAGTGTCAGTTTCCCCCAAAGGCTCTTAGGTAGGGGGAGAAAACAAATTTAGCCATCATTTTAGAATAATAGTGGGTTGTCTCCCTTAGCTACAGGTGGGCACTACAGTATTGCAGACCAAGATTTGAAATCTTACATCTGAGCAGCATTTTGTGATTAGAAACAAAATCATCAATGAGAAATAATTGAATAACATTTTATATGGACTTAAGTCTAATGTCTAGGAAGTGTAATCCCTTGAACTCTTAAAGAAATATTCTGATCACGTTAATCTTTGGTTATACTTTCCTTTGGGTGTTTAAGACCATACAGTTGGCCCAAATAAACCAATTAATTTTTACTCTTAAGGTCATTTGAGGATCTTTTCCCTCAGTGTCAAATGAGCTTGGGAAGAGCCCCTGGCTCCTTTCTTTTACCAGTTCTATCTATGTAAAGATCAGTCAAAGGTCCTGCTCAACCTGGCTGTGCCTTTTATCAGTTCAGGATTAATATGCTAATGAATTGTTCTTAATAAGTATATTGTGCATTTTTTCGCACCTATATATTTGGCCATTGATTCAAACGATTTCAGTGTCTTTTGTAGATACTGTGATAAACAGTGGAGATATAATGATGAATAAGGCAAAGATCCTTTCCTCAAAGATTTTACCATGTGTATTAGTTACTTTTCTCATTGCTGTGATAATACCTAACAAAAACAACTTAGGAAGAATTTATTTTGGCTCACAGTTTGAGGGTAAAGTTCATTATAGCAGGGAAGGCATGGTGGCAGGAGCAGGAGGCATTAGTCACATTGTACCCACAGTCAGGAAGCAGAGAGAGATAAATGCTAGTACTCTGAGTGCTTTCTCCTTTTTATTCAGTCTGGGACCTCAGCCCATGGAATGGTGCTACCACATTTAGAGTGGGTCTTCCCATCTTAGTTAAGTCAATCTAGAAACTCCCTCCCTCTAGGTGATACCTAGAGGTTTGTCTTCTAGGTGATTCTTGATCTGTCAAGCTGAAAATCAAATGAGCCATTACACAGTGTTTTTTGATGGACAGAATGCTAAATGTTTTTGATATGTACACAGGATCTAAGTGAACATCTGTAGTGTGCCACACACACGCACGCACGCATGTGCATGTGTATACTCCTAGAGAAATAATTAGGGATAGATTGTAAAGTGATCCATGTAGAAAATTTGGACTTTATATAGTTTCCTCAGAGAAAAATATTAAAGGCTCATGTATAGAGATATTTTCCAGGAAGATCATTGTGATGGTTGTATATAGAGAGAATTACAGGGGAGTAAGAAATAATGTTATGGTATTATATAGGAAGTAAGTGGATGCTGGCTTGGATGTGATTATGGCAGTGGCAATATAGAGGAAGGTATCGATTTGAAATGCATTTTGAAGGGTGGTATTGTAGATTTGATGAGAAATTATATAGGGAGCATGAGAGGAAGGAAGGAGTCAAGAGGGGAAATGATGGTGATCATCAAAAGATTTTGCTTTAGAATTGCAGTCTCCCATTAGACACAGTAGATAATGCAACAGTCCATTTAGGAGACTAGTTAAGGAGATTAACAAAGGAGGTTGAAATAAGTAGATGGAATGACTGATGTAATTTATTGATTATGTATTTGTGGAGGTGGAGGGCAAGAAGAACTGCCATGACTCTTCTCTTTGAGGTAGGAGATTCAGGTTTATCTTTGCAGAATGAAGAGGAAGAAGTGGAGTAGATTAGGTGACAAGAATTGAAGCGGTTTAGGAAAAAAAAAAAAAAAAAACTCTTTGGAATTAGGTGAAAGAATGTTTCCTAGGATGTTGGAGAAAGACCCCCAGGCAGTATTCATGGCTTAGTTGAAGAGTTAAAGTTGGAAAGAGTTTGTAGCAAGAATTTCTTCTTTTGCAGTGGGGAGATCACATATGGCTGGACTATCACCATGGTGACAAGTGCTAGAGTAGAGTAGAGGTCAAAGTGACAGGAACTGATGAAGTTGGGGAGCTGAGGGACTAAGGTATAAGGACCCCTGTATTCTTTAACTTACTCCTCACATTTATCCTATCATTACTCGGAGCCTTAATATTCCGATCCCACCTAATATCAACACTACTATGCTTAGAAGGAATAATTTTATCTTTATTAAATTGGTTGTGACTTAGAGTGATGAGGAAGATGGTTCTATGTTCCATTCTTAAGTGATGAAGGAAGGAAAAGCATGTTATCACTAATATAATAAGTCACAGACAAGAGATGAGGAGGAGCTGTTTGAATGTAACACTGTAGATTACACTTCTGAGGACTAAGGGATATGGGAGAATGAGTTAGGAAAGTATTTTATTTTATTTTTTTCTTTTTTTATTTATATCTTTCTTTTTGAGACAGGCTCTCCCTGTACCTCAGCTGGCCTGAAATTCATTGTGTAGACCAGGCTGGTCCTTGAGCTCACACAGATCTACCTGCTTCTGCCTCCTAAGTGCTGGCATTAAAGGCATGCACCACCACATTCAGCTACTACACTATATTTTATTTAACCTCACTTTGAAATTTTGAATACCTTAAAATGTATCTTGATTCTTTATGCTGTCATCCAGCACAACCTTTGACACATAGTAGGAGCATAATGTTTGTAAAATGGGATTTAAGAAGATAATGTTTAAAAAAAAGATATATTGTGTTTTTAAGTAAAGGAATCAATGGCAAAATTAAAAAATCAAATTCAGTTTTGTTTTTTAAATAATATTTTCAGCAGTGAGAAAAATTAGATGATACAGCATACTTGTTTAAGATTTTGTTTTCTTTCAAATGCTATCTCTCCTGTAGCAAAGCATATGAATATTGAGATAATCTTCCCAGCTTTCTTCTATATATTATGAAAATAGAGATGTGAAAGAAGATGAAAGTGTTCCCTTTTAACATGGACTGCTTTTGTTTTTTTTTTTTTTTTTTTTAAATCTAAGAGCACATTTTAGAGGGCTTGCATCATGATTTGAAGGCAAGATAACAAGAGCTATGAGATATGTGGTTCTTTAGTGAGGGGGCAAGCATTACACAATTGCTATTTGGTGACCTCTGACAAATAAACCACAGATTTTATTTCTTCATACATTTTAGATATGCTTTCTTTGCATGGTATACTAGTTTACTATAAAATATGGTGTAGTGTAATTTCTGTTTTTTGCAAATATCTGTATGTTTATTTTATCTTTTAGAATGACCAGGTTCTTCAGGGCTTCTCAGTGGACAAAGGAGAATTCACATGCCCCCTCTGTAGACAGTTTGCTAACAGTGTTCTTCCTTGTTATCCTGGAAGCAACATGGAAAATAACTTTTGGCAACGTCCTAGTAACAAAAGCGTACGAGATCTCATAAAGGAAGTGGAGGAACTGCAGGGACGGCCAGGAGCTTTCCCAGTAAGCATCAGTGTAAGACAGAAATATCCTGGTTAACTTAGCTCTGCCTTTTAATTCCCACCCTCTTTCCCTCCTTCCCCTTTCCTTCCCCACTCCTTTCTTTTCTAAATTACCCTGGACCTTTATACTTTTAATAGAAATTGATTTTAGTGGTGTTTGGCTTATGCTTGTGTTTACTAAAAAATAATGAAAATAATAGAAGGAATTGTCAAAGGCTATACTTTTCCTTAGTCAAAATCATTATAATTTTAATGTATTAATAATGCATTACAGATTATGAACCCCTATAAGCTTAAGTATGGTTAGACTTTTTTGTTTGTTTTTGTTTTCTGAGACAGGGTCTTACTATGTAGCTCTGGCTGACCTGGAACTCGCTATATAGACCACACTGACCTCCAATTCACAGATATTTGCCTGCTTCTGCCTCCTGAGTGGTGGGATTAAAGGCATGGCCTACCATACACCTGGTTTGGTTGGGCTTTTTAAAGATCTTGAAATATTCAAAAACAAAGAAAAACAGAAAAACTATATACATCATATTGCTTAGAAGTGAATACATTCTGAAAACTATTATTATGTAATACTGTCGTTGAACATCATAGAATGTATTTATATAAACTAAGATAACTGTGATGTAACTAAGCAATATAATTTTAAGGGATCATCATTGTATATGTGGTCCATCATGTACCATTATGTGGTACATGACTCTGTGTGTGTATGTTTATATATTTATATATACAATATAGGATATAAATGTAAAGTACAGTGTAATCATTTAGGAACATATTAGTTATATTAAGATCAAGAAGGACTGGTATGATGATTCAGTGAGTAAAGGTGATTGCTGCCAAGCCTGACAACTTGAGTTCAGTCCTAGGACCCATGTGATGAAGGAGAAAACTGGACTCCCCTAAGTTGCCCTCTAGCCTCCACACACATGCCATGGCATTCATTAGCCCACACACATGTGCACATGTGCACGTGCCCACAAACACAAATAGATGTAATAAAAAATTAAGAATCCATATTTACATTTATTTAATGTGTGTGTATGTTAGAAAATACTTTGCGACCATTCACTACAAGTCAGTGTACTATAATGTGAAGTTTGGCATAAATGAATCCATTTTAAAAATCCTATTATTAGAATTTATGTGGTTTAAGATCTCAGAAAGTTTTATCTCCATTATAGATTTCTGATATGGTCTCTAAGAGAGGTGACATTTGTTCCTACTTTATGTAGAAATTTTGAAAACTGTCTCCCCCAACCCTTTTTCAGTGCTGGGAATTGAATTTAAGGCCTCTCACATACTAGGCAAATTCCCTAACCAGGGAGCTGTATTTATTGCCCCAAATGGACATTTGACTTTTGAAACAGAAATTTGTAGGTTAAACCACTCAAATTCATCTTTTGGCAATTTGATTTTTCAAATGAAGACTAACTTTAGAATCTATTATTTTCTTCCTGTAAATTATTATTTTTTAAATATTTACTATTTTATTTTATGTGTATGTGTATATTGCTTGCATCTATGTAAGTGTACCAGTGTCTTGCAATGCTTGTGGTGATCAGAAGAAGGGTTGGAACAGGAGTTATAGATGGTTGTTAGCCACTCTATGGATGCTGGGAACCATCTCTCCTGCCCAATTTTTATGTGTTTTAAAATTGGCCTAAAGTAATATCAGTATCCCTTACTTTAGGCCAATTTTAAAAACAAATTTTAAGTCAGGTTTTTTTGCAGGCATGCAAATGATTTTTATATATTATTTTACTGCCATATATTCATTGAATTAGAAAACAATTTGGTTAATTCATAAATGGATTATAGTATTATCAATTACAGTCTAGAATTTGAATAAAAGATTATAAGAGAAATTAGCTTTTGATAGATTTTATCTTTGTATACTAAGTTATATAATATATAAATTGCTAATGCTCTACCTTGACAAGTTAATTTCTAGTTTTAGGTGGTTATTAGAGAAAATGAATATAAACTTTATATATGTTCATATTTTTTGCAGTCAGAAACCAACTTAAGTAAAGAAATGGAATCTGTTATGAAGGATATAAAAAATACCACTCAGAAGAAATACCGAGACTATAGCAAGACCCCAGGCTCACCAGACAATGATTTTCTCTTTATGTACTCTGTTGCAAGGTAGGTATGTGTAA